TAATTTTACAAAAAATTTATAATTTATAAAAAAAATAAATTATTTTATTATAATAATAAATTTATTATTTTAAAAAAATTAAAAAAAAATTTAAAATAAATTGATTTATTTTATTTTATTTATTATTTTTTTTTAATCATTTTAATCAATTTTAATTATATTTGATTGATGCAAATGTATATTATAAAGATGCATAAATTAATTATTTAATCAAATAAATATTAAATCTTATCTTATTTAGATAAATATTATTTATCAATTGTCAAGCAGATGCAAATCAATTTTTACATTTTTTATTGAGTATTTATATATGTTGATCAATCTGAAAATTCCAGTTGAAATGCAATATTTTTATTTATAATAAAATTTATTATTTATAAAAAAAAAATTTAAAATAAATAGAATTAACTAAAGCAAAAAAAAATTATTTTTAAAAAATTTTTAAAAATATTCTTTTTTATATATTAAAATAAAATAATTTTCATTTGACATACAATAATTATATCTATTTCTAATAAAAGAAATAAAATAAAATAAGTTAGTAAAAAAAGAATTCACTTAAAAGAATCTTTTAAAGAAGGCTTATTTTATCTAAAGAAAATAAAGGATCTACTCTTAAAAAAAAAGAAATAATATTAGTAAAAAAAAAAAATTTATAATATATAGAAATCTTAAGAATACTAAAAGAAAACTAACCATCTAAAGAAAATAAAAGATTAAGTTTCTAAAAAAAAGAAGAGAAATTAGATAAAAAGAATTTTACCTAAAAAGAACTTAGGAAAATTACTTATTCTTATCTAAGAAAAAATAAAGATTTACTCTTAAAAAGAAAAAAAAAAATAAGAAATTAAATACTAAAAAATTTTTAAAAATCCTCTAAAAGAAGACTTATCTTAAAGATCTGAAGAAAAAGCTTTTAAAATAAAAAAAAATATATAAAAAAAATACAAATAAATAAATAAAAATAACAAAAAGGAAATTATAAAAAAGTTTTTTTTTTTTATAATGAAATTAAAAAAAAGAATATCAAAAAAAGTGAAATCTTACCATAAAAAGATCTTAAATCTAATAAGAATAAACTTAAGCTGACATAATTTTTGTATTTATAGCCATTAACCTTTTTTGCATTTTAACGACTCATGCAGAGTTAAAAAAAATAAAATAAAAAATATTATCAAAAAAAAAAATAAAAAAATAAAAAAAATTAATAACCGAAAAAAAAAAGACTTAAAAATTGAAAAACTAAACTGAAAAAAAATAAATATATATATAACTAAAAATTTAAGTTAAATCAAAATTAAAAAAACTGAAAAAGTTAAAAAAGAAAAAAAATTTAATAAAACTAAACTAAAAACTGAATTTAAAAAACTAAAAAAATATAAAAATCTAACTGAAAACTGAAAATAAAAGCTAAACTGAATTTAAAAAAACTGAAAAAAAGAAAGAAAAAATAATTAAAAACTGAAAAAGTTAAACTGAAAAAAAACTAAACTAAAAAAAATAAAATAAAATTTAAGAAAACTAAACTAAAAAAAAAAATAAATAAATAAATAAAAAAAAAGAATAAATAAAAAATTAAAAAAACTAAACTGAATTAGAAATTTGATTAATAAAATCAATCAAATCAATCAAAATCAATTAAAAAATGATTTTCAAAAAAAAAAAAAATTTTAAATCTCATCCCCTTTCTTTTAACTAAACAGTTATTTTTTTAAAATTCTACCTTTAATATTTAAATTCTACTCTATTTATTGATAAGTAAAAAACTTTGAATATTCTTAATTAATTATTTTTTTACTTTTCTTTTTGAACTGATTTTTGAATTTTAAGATAATATTTATATAGGATTTTGGTCAGTTCCTTTTTGTATAAAAATTTTATTTTTATCAAAAGGATAAATATTTTTTTTTTAATCAAAGTTCTAATTTTAGAATAATAAAAATTAATATTTTTTTAGCTAACATAATTGTGGATTTTTATAAAAGTAAACAAAGATATATATTATTGTTTTAATTAATTATTTAATAATTTATATCAGTTTTAATATTAATATATATATGCATTTATTATAGATTAAAATTAACATAACAAATTATATATAAAATCTTTTTTTTTTAAAAAAAAAAAAAGAAAAAAATATTCTTTTTTTAAATTTTTTTTTATACTCAAACTATATTTTTTCTGAATCATATATTTTTTTTTATACAACTTTTACAATGTTTTCCTTCAAAGATTTATTACAAAAATTTGTAAAATTTTAAATGGATTTAGTCATGAATATTATATGATTTTATTTAAGAAACTAGGTAGGTTTGAAATATGGTTGATTAGTAATCAAGTTACTGATTTAGTAAGTAATTACAATCCTTTAATCCTTTAAGTAAAGTTATAGAAATATACTTTTGAATATATAAATTAGTTACCATTAAGATTAAATTATAAATCACATGATTTGTAATATAATTTTATATCTATATGACTTTGGAGTCATATATTTCCTCCTACATATGCTTTTAGTATATGCTAACTTAGGTTTTATTAGAATTTAATGAATTTTAAATAAAATTTTAAATATTAATTAGTTTTTATTTATTTAATTATTTTAATTTATTATTAATTTTAATAAAATTCTGTATCTGCATTTGATAAATATATAATTAAGAATAAAAATAAAGATTTTGTAAAGATTTATTTTTAAGTTGACAAAATTGAATTAAAGTTCTTCTTAAAGATTTTGATAAAGTTAATAAATTAATATATGATTTTAATGTAAATTATAGATTAGATTTAACCAAAAAATATCTTTATAAATTTGTTACTTGTAAAGATATTGAAAAAGAAAAGAACTTGATCATTATTAATGAAAATCAATCAGTTCTTTTAAAATGTGATAATAAAATTATTAGTAAAGTAATTTATAATGTTACAAAAAAGAATGTTGCAAATCATTTTGGTTTAATTATTTACTTATTTTTTTATTATTTTTAAATAAATATTATATTTATATCTATCTTAAAATAATTTTATTTCTTTTACTAAGTTTTTAATATAATTTTTTTGATAGTTAACTTTCATTATATCAAATGAATTTTATCATATCCCTTATTATGATTTTAAAATAACTTTATTTAAATTTAATAACTATTAAGAGATTTTATTTATAATATAATTTAATTGGTTGACCTGAATTTTATCAGATTAGGTCAAGTTAGATAAACAGATCAACCTGATCTGATATTAATCTGAAAATCTATTGATCTAACTTGAATTTTCAGATCAGGTCAGATTAGGTAAACAGGTCGATCTGACCTGATTCAAAGCTTTAATTTGTAATAATAATTTGTATATATTTAATATTATATAATATGTAAATACTAAAAAATAATATATATATTATGCATATAGATTTTATATACTATTAGAAAGTAAAAATTATTTTAATAAACTAAAAAAAATAAAGGTAAACTAAAATATGATAAAGTTTAAAGTTATTTTAAAAAAGAAAAAGAAGTAAATGATAAGTATTATTTGATAGTATGTATTATTATTTAATATTCTAGATGAAAAGAAAACTTGTAAAGCTTAAAATATACAGTCAACCTTTTCTAAATACATCTTCTCTAAATATATATACTATATATTTTCTCTCTAAATGCACACTCTCATTCAGTTTTAAGTATATAGAATTTATATAGAAATTTTCTCTTTAAATATACATTCTCTTTAAATGCAAATTTTTAAAATTTTCACTATGATTTTGAGAGGATGCATTTAAAGAGGATTGATTATATTTTATAAATAAATATTTATAATATTAAGAAAATATAAGTAAATTTTGACAAATCAAATTTGCTTTAGAAAAAACTACTTATATATATTCACTAATAGTTTTAATTTCTCAACTATTACTAAAATAATAAAAATTATAAAGTATTTTGAATTTAATAGGAACTACTATCTGCAATTATAGAATAAATTGATCATTTTCTACTTAAAGATAGATGATAGTTAGAATGTTATTAAAAATCCCTTTATTATTGATTTTCTTAAAAAACTTAATTTTAGATATATTTCTCTATAAAAAATAACTTTATCTAAAAGATTTTTAGATTAAGAAGTTATATGTATAAGTCTTAATATTAAAAATGAATTAATTTTTACAGATCATTTAACATTAAATAAAATTTAAATAATACTATATTTAAATTTTAAATAATTAATTCATATATTTTTTAGCTTTTTAATTTTTTTTAAATCTTTAAAAATTTTTAAAATTTACTATTTTTTCTATTAATTATTCATATCCTATTTATTAGAATAATTTTTTTAACTCAGTATAATTTTATATGTATTTTTTAAATTTAGTATTAATTTTATATTCATTTCTGATACAAATTTATCATAATGAATTTGATCGTGATCTGCATATAAAATTTAGAAGTTAAAATAAAAGTTACTTTAAAGATGAATTCTATCAATTTATACAATATATAATATTACATAAACATTTATTTATCAGTAAGTTTTAGATAGACGTTTGATAACATTGATCAATATCATACATTGAAAATGATAAAAAGCGTTGAGAAATAGACCCAATGTTAACCAACATATTTAAAAACATATATATCAACATTATTTTATATGTAAATTAATGTATAGTCAATTAACACTAGTTGAAAAATATGCAAATTATTGTTTGTTAATGCATTTATTAATACTAAAATATATTATAGCAATAGTGCTTCAAATAGTAGTTTTTTTACTAATAGTTTATTAATAGTGTAATATTTTCGCAATCTGATGTAATTGATTCATTAAATTATCATAAAAAATATTATCTAAATGTTAATATTGAGAATTTTAACATTGTTTAGATTTAGCATGTTCAGTAATCTACTTTTATAATCTGTTATATTTTCTAGAATAATTATGAAATGAGAAATTAATGTTCTTTTATATCATGTTAAAATAATGATTCACAAACCATCTTGAAAAAATCAATCAGCCATTACAAGATTATCATTGTCAGAATTTTCTGGCTGTCCATCTTTATTAGTTATCAATACATCATCTACTACATCATCTATATCACCATTCTCTTCAATATATTGATCTAGAGGAGAATAAAATGCTTCTTCATCAGCATTATTAACCTAAATAAAAATAAAGTATTTTAATGACACAATAAAGAAACGAATAAGCTTAGATATAATAATTACAGTATGTTCTTTATCAACTAACATTTTGATCTATAAATCAAGAACTTCTGTATCAATTTTCATCGAGAGGTATTTTTCATCAAATATCATCTCTAATACAGACTATACCCAAATGCCGTTTTTTACTGTACGTTCATTTTCTGATAAAAAAACTGATTTAATTATTAGTGTAATATAGGTATCTGAATTTGAATCATTTGAATTACTTGGAGTATACAGATCTTTGTGGACTTTTTGTACATTTTCGAGTTCCTTCCATTCCTTCATTTGTGATTTAGTGTAGTTATCTCCAAACAGTTTTATCCTATTGATTCCAAATGTACTACATTGTTGCTAAAGAATGATTATTAGGTATTATCAAAGAAGATAAGCTTAAATGATGTATCAGTTCATTCTTGAGATATAAAGAAACTTTAGTTCTATCTCATTGATAGGAACTTTAGATATACCTAAAAAATAAATTTGGTTACGCATTTTCAGATTTTTAGATAAGCACTGACTCTTTCTTTTTCTTTTTTTGTTAATAGCAATTTTTATTAGATACGTATTTAGTGGAGTTATTAGAGGGAAAGATGATAATTGGTCAATTCAAACAGGTTTATAATATAACTACAGGGAATAGCTAGTATTTAGTCTAGATTTATTTGATTTACTTTATATTTTTTTTATATAAATTAATAAAGTTACTAGTAGTGTTATATTATTAAAAAAAAAAAAAATAAATAAATAAATAAATAAATAATAATAGAAATAATTACCTAAGAACCTCCTCTTCATTATATACTTTTGTAACCAATATGACAGTTCTCATTCTAGGAGAATTACAAATTGATAAACTAAATTTTGTAAAAAACATTATACAATATTTTCCTAGATTTGCAAATATTGACTGGCAAGTTAGAAATGGCAATAACAATGTTATAATACATTTCAGTTCTATAGACTTACTGATATCTATAGTCAAATTAGTTAATGTCTTATACTCTAAATTTATAATCAATATTCTATCCTATTTTTATTAATCAACAAAATGAATGAAGATGAAAAATATAGGATGATAAAAGTTCTACAGCACATTTCAAAAAATAGTATTTCTAAAAGAATGTTTATTTTTAGCCCTATTGTATTAATAGAAAATAGTTACAGTAACACTATAAATAATTCATATAATATTTTTATAATTTTTAAATATCTATACAATAAGAAAAATTCACACTCAACAATTTTTAAGTAATTAATATATCCTCATACTGCATTAGAATCAACTCAATAAATGCTACATTAAAGATTTAAAGAGCAGAAACAAATATATTACAAGTTTTAAAGGCTTTTCTAACAATTGTATAATGACATAAGCTTTTGATATTCTTAAACTATATAGGATAAAACTTATTATTTCCACAACTCTATTACTTATATTGCTTTCTTTACAGAAGAAGAACTTCTAGAAACTTACTTATCACTGATTTATTGTAATAAATTTAAAATTTTTAGAAAGATACAATTTTTCTTTAGATTTTACATTCCACTCACAAATCTAGAATTTAATAAATCAAAAAATAGTTTTAATAAATTTAGAAGAAATTATTCTTCTATTAGACAATTAACCCTTCAAAATAATAATCAAGTCAATGATTTCATTAAATATAAAGAACATATTTTGGAAGAATACGATAATATTTTGATAAAATTAAATTCTTTTTTGATACATGATATCTCAAAATCAAATAATAACATGAATCTTATATCTAAGATTCCAAAAAATCCTCTTGCCATTATAATGTCTAAATTAAATAAGTTTGATTTCATAAAAAGCATTTAGCTAAATTGGATTTTAAAGTTAAATTCTTCAATTCTGCTTTAATTAGCAACAGAGTTCTGCTCCGTTACTCCTGAATTTTTTTTACTATATAAATTAATTAATAAAAGTATTTCTACTGATAACTAGAATAATAATACATAATTGTCTATACTAGATGATAATAATTACCTTATTGACAATCCTAATGAAAATGTTTCATTTTTTCTTTAATATCAAATTACTATATTTCATAATGATCATTAATATATTATTTAACACATAAATAATGACATTTTTCATATAGACAAAAATTTAGCTGATAATATTATCTTAGATGATACTATTAAATTTACTACATATAATATTAGAGGAATCAACGAGACTACAGATCCAATAAAATCTTCTTAAATCTTTGAATTTTTTAAAATCAAAAATATGGATTTCATGAGCTTGATAGAAATTCATCACAAATTCTTAATATATCATAAATATAAAAGTAATAAATTCCTTCTGGAGTAATCCTAATATAAATCAATTACATGTAGAAATAACCTTACTAATTTCAAAAATAGGATAAACATATTATTAAATTTCAATTTCTAATTCAAAATTAATCTATGTTAATTTTTTTCTAAAAGGACATATCAAACTCAAAATTATCAGTTGCTATTTTCATTCCAATATTTATGATAAAAAGATAATCAAAAAAAGAAAAGACTTATAACAACCTATTCTTAATATGATTGTAACAAAAATTACCATTATACAATTTTGATAGATGATTTTAATACAGATATAGATAACTATCACAAGCGTATCAAACTTAATAAATCTCTTGATTAATACTTTAATTTAATTAAAAGATTAAAATGTAAAAATTTTTAAAATTTTTAGATAGCCAGCAATAATAAATTATTTTCTATATATCATTTCTCACAAAGTAATATAATAAATTCATTTCTAAAAAAATTAAATGGTATTTTATATTGTGAGATTTCTAAACTTTTTATATATAAATCAGATCACAAAATAGTCACTTTGTTTTTGCTAATCTTCATCTTAAATAAGAAGCTAATACAAGAAGAAGCAACTCAAAGAAAAAGAAATTCAACTTCACAATTATGAATAGATCAATATGGCAAATTTTATCTGATGTAACTAATAAATACTTTTATTAATACTCTATACATAAATATAACTGCTTATTATTTTCCTTAATCTTAAATATAAATAAGCTATAGGAATTACTTAAAAATGTGATCCTGGTAATAGCTAATAAAAACATCTTTTATAGATAGATTTTCACTGATTAGAAACCTCCAAAAACCAAAGAACTAGTTACCTTTTATGACTAAATGAAGTTTCTTAATCACTTTATTATAAAATTTTAAGCTGCTAGAATTAGAGAGAGAAAATAACCTTTTGGAAAAAAATGAAAATCTGATTGTATGACTATTAGAAATGTAATTAAAAAAGCAAAATTATCTGATATTATCTTACTTGACTTCTTGATAATTCAAATATTAAAATAGTCAAATATACTATTCTCAAACTTTTTCATAATATTAAAGTATTTATAAGAGTAAAAGAAGATAATATTACTAAAATATTTATAAAATATTATCTTGATCAACATTGTCTTTAGTTTGAATCCAATCTAGAGAAGATGATTTAATTAATATTAAATAAGAAGAAACAATCAATAGTCTTAAATAGACTCATAATCAAAAATAGAAATGATCAATAAATATTAATAAATAATTCTTATATAATAAAGAATCAAGTTAATAAGCATTTTCAGAATTATGTAATACCTGATTTTCTGGCTGTCTTTGTTTTTAAAAAATGGAAAAAACAATATCAATCCAAAGATAATATTAAGAATGGTTAGCTGTTGTATCTTAACTTTCAAATAATAAAGTAGCTAGACTATTAAACATATATAATAAAATGATAAAATATCTAAAATTTAAAATGCAAAATCTACTTTAACGATTTATTAAAATGTATTTTAAAATTAGAGATATTCTATCAGAATGGAAATATGCTTACATATATCCTATTCTTAAACCTGTTGATTAAGAATATAATATTTTTAAAACCTATTCTATTACTCTATTAGAAACTACACATAAAGTCTTTGTAAAAATTATTACTAATCATCTATCAAAGATTCTATTAAAATACAAAATACTTAAAGAGAATAACTTTTTTAGTTTACTAGAAGATTCTATTAAAGATCTTATCAAATTAATGAATTTGATCTTAAAAGATACGAATAAATAAAAAAAAGACCTTTAGATACTATTGCAAGATTTATCAAAGTCTTAGAAAAATGTATTTTGTGTTTGATCAATCTCTTCACAAATAGGAAAAATGCTGTTTTTATAAAAAATAATCTTTCTGACTTTTATAATATAAAGGTTGACATAGATTAAGAAAAGATTATATTTTCACTTTATGATATATTTATTTTGATCTGTTATTATATAAAATAAACAGTCTGAGAAAATAATACAATTTTAACTATATATAGGTTATAGATATCAGATCTATAATAACTTCTTCCATTTTAGCGCAAGTTTCTACTCTTATATAAATGAATAATTTAAATTGGATCGCTTACTTAAAAAGAATTTAAAAGATATTCTAAATATTACTGATAAATTTTATTTAATCATATGAGCTGCTATCAATAAATAAAATTACAACTTTTAATCAACACAATTGCTTCTTTCTCTATTCCTATAAAATTTAGTTCTAATATAATAATAAATCTAAAACTTTGAATTTAGTTTTATTAAGTTTCTTGAAGTGTGAATCAATATTTCAATTTTTCATCTTTCATTAAGTCATAAGCAAAGGAAATAATCTCAACTTATACAATCATTCTCAAAATGAAATTACATACTGACAATCAATTAATATACATTTTTAATATGATACTATTTTTTCTTTTAAACTGTCATTTTAAAACTATACTTCATTTTTTTAAAGATTATTATTTAATCTTAATACCTATTAAAAAACTCTTTAAATAAAATATTTCCTTTATTATGACTCTTTCTGACTATTTGGTTAAAAATAATACTTTTTATAACCTTTATGATCTTTAGACTCAAAAATTAAAATCTTTATTTATGATTCTATTATACTAATTCAATTTTATCTTCTTATACAATACAGTATCAAAAATCAGATTTTTCTAACTATAGTTATAATATTCACTACATACATCTCTTTTAATACACTGGAATAAACCTTTTAGCAATAAATCTTATAAAAATTCTATTAGATTTACTCTTAGTCTGCTCAAATATGAAAACATAAAAATCTTTTTAAATACATATCAGAAATTGAAAAATATAATCAAGGGTGAATTTATCTCTTTAGACTTCTTCATTTCTTTTAATATTTTTGAGAAGTACTATCATATTCTAAGAAAATATAATTTTATTTATTTAGA